TATTCTTGTACATGGTGTAAGTTCTGCTTTTATTTTTTTTACCTGTGTCTGTCCAGTTTTCCCAATGCCATTTATCGAATAGACTTTACCCCATTGTACGTCCTGCCTCCTGTGTCATAGATTAACTGACCAGATAGGCGTGGCTTCGTTTCCGGGCTCCCCGCCTTGGGGAACGGCAGAGACTTTGGCCCGGCGATCTGTTTACTTTGCGTGGATTACGTTACTGCTTTCCCATTGGGCAGCGAGGTCCCAGCTGAAACGGGGATTAGGCCCAGCGCCTCAGAGCACGTGTGTCATCCCCGTGGGCAGGCGCTCAGCTCTTCGGGGATGCCATCTGAAGGTCACCACTTACACGTCTTCACAGACCTCTGGCGATGCTTTCTCCTCGGGAAGACGGGCAGCAGCGTTTACAGCGTTTACAGCTGCCACGCTGTAGCTTGGGAACTTCAGCCCGCAGACCGAAGTGTGACTCGGCTTCAGATCGCTCACGTTGCTCTTACATGTCACACGGGCCCCGGGCCACGCTCCGCAGGCTGCTCCTAAGATAAGTCAGTTTTTTTTCTGGCCTAGCCACGATGCTTGCGAAGTGGCAGGAGACCGCAGGGTCTGCCTCTCCTTGGCTTCACCGCGGCACACGGCTCACACATTCAGGGTCGAAGAGCGACCCTCGACGCGGCCCACCCACGGGGTCGCAGGCTGCCCGTGCCAACATTTGTCAGCTTTGTTCCCTCCTGACGCCATGTTCCCTCTGCCCTGACCAGCCCTTAACTTGGGGTGGGACCAGGCTGACAGAATGTGTCATTACGGTCTTTCCTTAGGTGTCTGGAGACCAACGAGTGTCGCTTTCTTCTTTTCTCCTGCTCACTCTCTCCTGAGTCCCAGCTCGAATAGGTTGGTTGCCGTGTCTGTCATCTGGGCCTCACGTGTCAAGGCTTTCAGTTCCGAGACAGTGGCCGTCCGGTTTACGGGGGGCAGCACGATCGCGTCTGCCTTGACTTTGTCCAGAGCTTGCGTTAAGGACAGAAGGGTGGGCAGGAGGGTACATCCATGCTGTGGACAAAGCCACTCCTCCATCCTCACCAGGCCCATCCTGACGCATTCGTAACAAGGTGCCAGTCCCCATCACTTCCTTAGGTTTCGAGGCTGTTTCTAAGAGACTGTCACTGCTAGGTGGCCACATTTTAGCATGCTTCTTAAAGACCTTACATAGGCAGATGCTATTTTTTCAACATTTCTTAAGGTCCAATGTACATACTTTGTTCGATTACACGGAATATATGTCATTGGAAAGATGGTTCGACTTTCGTGCTTGGGCCTGAATGCCCGGCACGGCCACACGCGGGCGTTGCTGACTCTGGCAGGGTCCCCTCTGGCCGGAAGGGCCTGTCCCCATCTCTCTTGAAACCCTGATCCTGCATCGAGGCCCAGTTCAGAAGTCAGTACGTCGGCACAGCTTCTCCAAGCTGGATGTCGTCTGTCCTCCTCAGTGCTCCTAGGTCTTTGTGCCTACAACGTGCTCCGTCGGCCAGGCCGCCCCACAGGGCTGGGGACACGTCGCTTCCGGATCTGCTGTCTGTGGAACACCACACCCCACACAGAGTGGTCTCAGTGAGTATTTCAATAACGGAAGAAAGGTGTTTTCTACATATAGCCAAGCGCAGCATTAGCTTATTTTTTTTTTTTTTAAAACATGATTGTCACCTAAACCTCATGACATTTTTCTGAGATTAAAGATCCCGGGTCTGAAAGTCACCTACCATACAACCGTGTGCAGCTCTGGGCCTGGTTTTCATCATCTGTGAGGACATTTTCTACCTCAGTCAAAGCAAATTTGAGCAGGAAGACAGACGGCGACTTAGGGAAAATCCGCGCCGTGGGTTTGGAAAACAGGTGTAGATGATGGCGGAGACCTAGGAAGACTCGGAGTCCTGTGCGGCTAGAGCCGGAAAGTCCATAGAGAAGACGGAAGGAAGTTCCTCCATTAGTAGCCAGGACGTGGGACAGGATGTCCATCCCCGGGCTCCCGCGCCCTGCAAAGCTCTTTTCCCACCTGCGGTTCTGATAACAGAAAAGGACATTTTCTTAGTTCATATTTTGCGTTCCCAACTGACAGTGACCTTTTAGTTCCGAATTTCAAATCCACATATCATGCTTCGACAAAATCAGAATTGAAAAAGTATTGTCAGTTCTGTCGTGCAGTATTTCTCATTCACAGATGCCTCAAATAAAATCCGGACAGACTTGGGCACAACTTTTTTTGGGGGGGAAATTGCCTTTTTCGCCTTGTTGGCCAGGCAACTTAGCATAACGATACCATAACGATAAAGAGTAGCTTTTTTCCTAAGATATTAAATATGGTTTTTCTTCTTTTATACTTTTAGTATTTTTCAAATATTCCGTAATGAGCTTATGTTATTTTAACTTTTACTTCATACACGTGAGTAGTTTAAAGTCTCAAATATTATAATAGTGTATACAAAAATATTATTCCCTCTCCTATTCTCCCCCTTTCTTGCTCCACAAAGGTAACTAGTTTCAAACATTTTCACTGTAAGACAAAGAAACAGTAAATCTAAATAGCCCTCTATGTATTCAATAATAGAGCTACAAAATAATAGAGACAGAGAAATATAATCAAATGAAAAAGCAGGCATTTTTTCTTCTGCCAGGAAAGAAACAATAGAAAAAGTTTACAGAAAAGAAAGGGTGGTCATCTAAGGACACCATTTCTGGGATAATGTGATATGACTAAATTGGGGGGACAGGGGAGAAAGGGTTGGTGAGTGCTACAGAACAGCGGTCCCCAACCTCTGTGGCACCAGGGACCGGTGTTCCTATGAGAATCTAAGGCCTGATGATCTGGGGCGGAGCTGAGGCGGTGATGCTGGCGCCGGGGGGCGGCTGCACACAGAGATGCAGCTTCGCTCGCTCACCTGTCGCTCACCTCCTGCTGTGCGGCCCGGGTCCTAACAGGCCACGGACCAGTACTGGTCCGCGGCCCGAGGCTTGAGGACCCTGCTATAGAAAACCGATATATAATAAGATGTAAAACAACATCAAGAAATAGCAGGAAGCAGCAGTTAGTTATTTAGAAATGTGTTAGAAAAGGTAAAAAAAAAAAGGTAAAATATTCAAAAGCAGTTTCTTTTTAAATCAAGTTACATTTTTTTGTGAGTCGTGAAGAGAGCACATGTCTGTGATTAAAGACCAAAGCGAACGGC